GGGAGGAGAGCATGGTTGGGAAGGGAGTCAGGTTGGGGGGAGTCTAAGGAGTGTACAATATACAATACAAGCCACGGAATATCACGATTCTCGTGGTAAGAAGTTAGATCCACTTTTGACGCGCGCGGCCGCGCCTGGGCTGCTCGTTCGTCTATTTTTTTCCATTTTCTTTCTTTTTTTTTTATTGCTTTTCCTGTTTTCTCGTCGACAATGAGGCTCGCGTCGCTTCGAGCGCAGGACCGTGTGCACGCCCCGAAGGAAGCCACGAAAATTATGCGAGGGTTGAGCAAATTCCCGAAGGTGCGGGGGGAAATAAAAGGCGATTTCGATCGGGCGAAAAGTGACTGTAAAGCTGTAGACAAAATTCCGATAGACAATGAGCTTGTCCAGCGCACAATCGAATCGTTAATTGAAGGAGCAGATGGACGAAGAAAATATTTGACGTAATAACGCCTCGAGATTAGAAGGGCTTGAATGTTAAATTAATACGTTCGCGTTTGTAAGGTGACTTAATATTGTACATGGATTCTTCATCCATAGACTAACTTCACTAAGAACCATCACAGCACTAAATTGATAATACATTTTACGTATTGATACGTATTATACAATAGGGAGTAACATTTATCCGTACAAATAACTTAACTTGCGTAAGAATGTGACAAGCCTTCTTCATCCACTTGCCTATTCAATTGTGTATCTACACATGTCGATCAGTTTCTACTTCTGCGTCGGAACATTGGCTCCTGTTCGTATTTAGCGCTGAATGCGGCAATTCTCATTACGCGTCTGCATTGGCAAGAAATTTTTCGTACAAGTGAATCTAAGATGGAAGGAAAACCGCGTGCAGCGCTGAATACAAACAGTCTGGAATAACGTAATATATATAATATATAATATATACAACGCTCGCCAGACGTATCTGAATAGAGTTCATTAAAATCAATACACTTACGCGCAAATCTAAAACAAATTAAGAATCTATTCTGGGTAATCAGTAACAAATAAACGATTGCAAATGTTATAAAAATTTGTGGGATATATTTGCCTCGTCGCTTTTTTGGAAGTGATTTCCGCTATCAACAGTTTTCTGATTAATATATAAATTAAATAAAAAAGCAACTTTTTTTCTCCACATTCAATTCGTTCGGTGAAATAACAACTCCGAATATATTTCCGGTTTCTGTTTAAAGTATAGCGAACAGTAATCGTGTGCCCCGTTCCTCGGCGATGCGGCCCCGAGCCGAGCTTCGATTTCCAAGTTGTTTATTCATCGGAAATCTTCGTTACGAATTTTGCGCCGGGCCAATAGTAATTTTTGCTTATGGAAGTCTTGGCGACCGCGGTATTCCATTAAAACAGCCGAACCGATTAATTTCATCCGCGATAGTAGCAATTCGCGGATCTGCTCGATTATTGCTTTCGGATTTCAGAATATTTCGCTCCCTCGTAATCGATTCGGATTTACAGACATATTACAACGACGATGCTTGCCCGCTTAACTGGGTATCGCAAAATGGAGCAAAGCTGATCAGGAGTTTCAGCAATCGATGTGCAATGTCTCTCTCGTTTTAGTTAATATATTCAAAAATATTTAATGAACAACATGATTATTATATTCTATTTGTGCATAGACAAAAGGATATTGATGGCAGTTATCAAAATTTAATACATTCAGAATTTTAAAATATTACGAATCACTTTTGGAGAATTATGATTATTTTTATATATAATATATAATGCATCATAGCGTAAAAATGGTTATGTTGAATATTAATGGCTGATTTATTTCATCCAGCCGTTATTGACTTACCTGTCGGTGTTACTGAACAACATCAACAAATTAGCTGAAACGAGAGCTCGACTGAAAAGATCCGCTCTTGTGTCTGCTCCCATTTTACGATACGCGACACTACTGCAGAATCGAAAACGCGTAGGAGACACGACAGCGATTAGTCGAAATTACGACAGAGAGTAGTTTAGAATCCGATCGGCAAGCTGATTATCGATTGCACAACGAGATGATTGACGTTGATGCGAACAACGCACAGCTGGGGGTATCGAGCCGATCTTTCGATTGTCACTGCAGCCGTTTCGGACGTGCGGTGCATTCGCATTGTCGCAGTGCGTGCAAACGATAACGGCCTGCCATTCTCGGACATCGCTGGAATCCCATTCTTGGATGTCTCCTTAAAAAAAGAAAAAAAATACCGCCACAGCACGCTCTCCCGCAGACATCGCGCGATTTCGCCTTAAATCACCGTTATCTCCCATCCCGGACGCGTCACGTTCTTCTCTTTAGACCGTCTGCATTGTGTTACGTACGCGTAACACTCGCGATAGCGTTCCCTCTGCTGCCTAAAGTGACTCGCGCGAGTTGATTGTTACTCGACGTCTTATTATACGTTTAATAATTATCTACACCGATCGCTACTATTTATACAAATCGTAGATCGGGTCGGACTTTTGATAGGCGCTGTGAAAATCTAGTCTTCCGCCAAACATACGACGGTCGCAAAATGAGAAACTGTAAAAAATAAAATTTTATCTTATAAAAAAAATTTATTTTAATTTTACGATAAAAGAAATATTTTTTTACAATCGAATAAAATGAAAGGATATAATGGGCGGCGATCACAAGCCCGACTTACTCCGATCTACCGATAAAAGATCGAAAGAGATTATCCGTAAAGTCGCGAGGAAGATCGTCGAGAGCGCGGGATGACGAGGAGTTCCCTCCTCGCGGTTTGTGTGGGAAAAAAGCACGATTCGTCGGAGGCGACGACCGATGACTGCCCGAGCAAACGAGCGAAGAGTTGCTTACTACGTCGTGTCGATCGACGGCTCTACTTCCGACGCGCTCTTAAAAGACGCGAGTCTCCGGATGACGGCAACGTGTGAAATTTCGCGAGAACGAGAGAATTCGGCGCTGCTCCCCGGTGAAACTGATTCGCGTAGTTTACGCCGCGTCGCGCTTTTTCCTTTATATTGCAGATCGTCGACTCGGCCCTAAGGTTCTTCAGATTTGCGTTCTTTTCTTCTTTTTTTTTTTACCTTGCGTTTTCGAGGCGTAAATCGGGCAGCGTGCGTTTATGCGTTTACGTCTCTAATCGTTATAATATAATAATATATTTAATAATTAGTACAGAGAGTAGATGTTATTTATATTTATATATAATATTTATATATATAATATAATATATAATATAATATATAATATCACTAGGGTACATATGTACAAGGGACTGCAAATAGTAGAAGGTGCTCTTGTATTGCAATATCGTTCTCTGTTCTCTTCCCTTAAGACCTAACGTACACAGGTAGAACGTAGACTCACACGGGACACAGGTACGCGCTCGCAGACTCACTCACTCCCTTTTTCTCCCACTCTCTCGCACTCATTTTTTCCTCTCCTATCGCATTCACCCCTCGCGTCTCGTTTAATTTACAAGTAACGCGCGATCGGCGCGCAGCGTCCGTCGAGAGTCCAACGTACCCCGCCGCGCGCGCGGTCCTAACGGAGACACACACTCCTAACGCGCGCGATCGTGCTCCCGCGAATCGCGGCGGGTCTATTTACAGATACAGGAAACACGTGCGGAACTCCATGTGTTGTTCCGTCCCGTAAGCACGAAGGGCGCCGCTCCCGCTCGCGAGCACGACCTCCCGAGCGCGGCGCCGCTCCGGAAAGAAAATTGCACTTTGTAGTATGAGAGTCCGGCCTCCCCCGCTCCCGTCCGGCGCGTCGAGCGAGAGTCCCGGGAGACGACCGGCCGCGGCCGGGACTCCCGATTAGGACGAGGAGAAGCAGGCAGGCAGGATCGAGTGCCGATCAGCCGACGTTCCTGCCGCTACGACGGCTCCGACGTGGAGTCCGGCTCCCTCTCGTCGGCGGAGAGGTTCTCCGGGTCGCCGCCGGACTCGTCGGCGCAGTCCTCGTCCTCGTCGGGGTCGTCGTCCTTCGTGCTGCTCACAGGTTCGTTCTCCTGTCACGGACTCCCTCCGCCGGCGTCGTCGCCTCGATGTCCGGGCGTCAGGCTGGGGCTCCTCCGTCTCTTCTCTTGCAACCCGTTCACCATGTTCTCGATGGATTTAAGCTCGCCGGCGGAGCTCGGAGTCGTCGAGGTCAGAGTGTTACCGCCACCGGTCGGTGTCGGCGAGTCGGTCGGCGGCCTCGGCGGTGGCGATCTCGGGCTCAGGGTTCTGCTGCCGGGCGTCACCGTCTCGAACGCGGAACCGTGCGAAGGCGCGGGTAGGGTGTAGGGCGCGAATCTGTGTCCCTTTAACTGATGCAGGGGACTGGCTAGGGGATGGGGATAGTGCGCGAAGAGCGCCGGATGCTGCGAGGCCGCCAGGGCCAATTGCGCGTTGAACAGCATGCCGGGCGTGACGCCGCCGTGTAGGCCGAGAGGAGTGGGCGGTATCAGGTGACCGGGACCGGGGTAGAGACCGGGTACCGGCGGGTACAGATACGGCAACAGGGGCGGGTGCAGCGGAGGGCCGACGGAGACGTCCGGCCGCGGGCCCTCGGACCCCGTCGGTCCCGGTCCGCCGCCGCTCTCGGATCCGGACGACTCGCTGCCCTCGCCCCGCTCGCTCGTCCGATCGTCCCTCTCGCGCGAGTGCTCCCGCTCCCGATGATGGTGCGCCGGGTGCGGCGTGTCGGGTCCGACCACGTCCAGCAGCTTGTCGTCGTCGTCCATGATGTCGTTGGCGGAGTTGGACGTGCGTCGTTTGTCCGGCGACGCTGGTCCGCCCGCCGTTTAAACGGGAACCGCCGCCCGATACTGTCAGTAGCGCCTGCCTTCTGCAACAACGACGCAGAGTTAGCAATCTTGCGAGGTTCGCGTGCGCCGCGCGGCGCACTTATTTCTACACCCTCCAGGTTTACCCTCCTTGTCGCGCGAAATTAATCTAAAAATCCCTTTTCTTAATGCGCTTAAAAATTAATTCAATTATACCGCGGCGATTTTATCTCGCGCCGGACGATGAATTGTAAATTAAGATAAACGGATTTGCCGCAGTCGTGCGGATTACAAACACCGCGCCGTCTTCTTCGGCGTCTGTTTCCAGATTGATTATTGATTTATGAAAAGGTGTGGTTAGTAAAGTTATCAATCGTTAGAAAACGTTAGCGGAGCTGCGCGGCGGCCACCGGGTAAATGGGTTCCGCCTATTTCGGTATGATTTATCGACGTTCTTAAGCTGACAATCTTTTGAGAGAGAGACGCGCGAATGCCCAATGATTACGGTACACTATAATTGGTTCCGAGAGTACATAACGAGAGGGCCCGGTGATAAAGTTGCCTTCCTCCTTGGCAGCGGCAATTTCAACTCTAAAAATCTTGTTCGCTAAGTCTCGTCGCGGTTTTATTAGCATGAGACCGTACGTCTCAATCAAAAAATTGTAGTAAAGGCGAGCATGCCGAAAAAAAGGAAAAACGTCCGCACTCGGAATGCTGCGATCGGCGATTTCGACCTACGCTAACGTAATGCATCGACGTATTTGCTGTACGCATGTTGATTAATTTATAAGACTCACTTACGAGACGTGATATGAAAAATTGAAAATGACAGACCATAACATTAGTTATAAGAAAATTAGTTATGGAAATTACTGCGACGTTGCAACAAAAAGTATAATAAAAACAGCGACGATCAATCATGCATATCTGGAAAATGACAGTTATTGCAGAGATTCAAAGCAAATTTTTTCCAAAAATAAACGTGGCTATTGATGCCTTCAGGGTCTTAGCGCACGATTGCGTCAAACCTATCACCTAAAATATTATCAAATAAAACGTTACTGCTACGATTCGCGAAAAAATTATAACGCGGATTTTTATTGAAGCGCCGCGCTTGTTAGAGACGCGCATTGCGCTGGATCATCGCGATCGAAGAAAACAGACGCGGTTATATCGCGGCGAGTCTAGGAAGACAAAGAAGTATTGTGTCGAGGAAAATCAAAAGGGCCCGCGACATACGGCACGGCACTCTCGAGCGGCGCGGCGCGTCTCGCTCGTACGCGGCGATAACTCACGCGAGGCCGCCGCGCTCGGCACGATGCAATAAATGAGGGCCCCGGGATTTATGCGAGCGCCGGTAGCTGTATCGCCGCGAGGCGCGGCCGTGGTATTAGATTAATTATCTTAATTGCGCCTTCAACGCCTTTCCTATGTGCGCGCGCGCGCACGGCAAGTGTCTAGCGCTCGCTTGTTCGCTCGCTCGCGCGTGCATTGCCTTCATGCTTGACTTTATACCACTCGCGGCTATTTGCACTTATAACTAGACAGACGAGAGCGTGTTGCAATTCGCGCCCGTGTGTGTGCGTGTGCATGAAACTCGCATAAACGACCGGCGTGTCGATAGAACGCTCAAGATATATGCGCGCGGCACGGTTATATTGCGCTACGCGCCGCGGTACGACGCAAAGAACTTTTTTCCGTGTATCGCGCGAGCTAGGTGTGCGGAATCAAGCGTGATTTATCGCACTGACGTGTCCAGCCGCCTGCATCCTGACTCTCGGAGTCACGAGTCATTTTTCACGATGCCGCGGCGATATCGCGCGCGGGAAAGACCGTATCTATCGATTCGCGATGCGCCGCGATCTGCTCGCGGAGTCCTCGCGTGCTTCTCTCGCGCGAAGGAAAAAGTCGCGTATCTCTGCTCAATCTATTGAACTGTGTGCGAGCGGTTCTCTTACATAAAAGAAACTGCGATTTGATTGCTCTTGGACTCGAAGCGAATCTTGACTCGTTTTTATATTATACGTAAATAAGAAAGAAAAAAATAATCAGCTACTAAACGGCATCGGTGCGAACGATGTGAATGAAAATGAACGGCTCTCGCGAACCCCAGGAAGCGGAGGGACGTATACTCGTTCGAGAATCCTATACCGAGCGCACGGCGAACTATTGATTTGGCGCGCTCTCGCACTTACGGAAAGCGAAGAGCCTGCACACCCTTTCGGGGCCGCAACGAGTGCATGTCACGGATGCATCCATGAGAAGCGCACGCCGGGCGGATGCACTTCGAGCGAGCGAGCGAGCGAACGAAAGCGCGCGCCTTTGTGTTAGTGAACTGATCGCATTACATGGCATTAAGGCACCAGTAAGCCTCTCGTTGTGCGGAACGGCTATAGCCGAGACTTACACGAGGCTTAGGTTTGTTCAGCCTGCACGAGACGATGCATTAGATTTGCTTGCCCTCCTCCCCTCTCGCGCCGCGCGCGCCGCCAACGTTTTCCCCCTCCCCTCCGCGCAAGCCCGACCCGTCATTCGACTCGATTGTCGACGGTAACGTACCATCGAGTTTCCTTTGCGTGATTAGGAGCGTTCCAGGAAATTTTGTTCGAGCTCGCTGAAAGGATCCGTGTGTGCCAATTAATTCTGGATTAGGTTGCGGAATCGAATATTTCGGTGTAGCGCGGTTATGAGAGGAATTGCGAGGCTTTTTGAAAACCCGTCGTCTGAACGAAGGACTTTGGAGGGGAAAATACCTTTACGAATTCACCGTCGACATTTCGAAATTACGAAAGTAGAAATTGCGGGCCGAGATCGTACGGTTTAAGAAGTTGACATAGGGAGGCAAACATTGACACTGCTATATTCCGCAAACAGGAAGCTACTTAAAAATATCATCAATCATACATGTTATTCTGAGTGCTAATTTCACGATGACCGATGAGACAAGACGGGTGTTTTTCTACGAAAATCGGGAGTAATGCCTGAGGGCTCATAATTACACCTCGAAGGAATGCTTTGTTGCAATGCGGAGAGAGCGCACAGGAATTCCACCGATCTCCACTTTGCGGATGATATAATTGACTGTAAAAGTTGAGCGAAACCCGCGCTCCGGTTTCGCGTTGATTTCTTGCCGCGTCCCGCACTCGCTCGTTAACCCGAAGACGTGTATATAAGAGGCGAAGCATCGATCGCGGAAATTAAAACGGAAACGACGACGGCCAGTCACGGCTATTAATTTAACACCTGCGCTAATGGGCCCGCTAGGAAATACATATCGTTCGCACTGTACGTATTAACGCGGTCGTCGGAGTTTCACGAGCGAACGGGTTAATTCGCCGCGTATCGCAATGCGATCTTTTCGCGGGACACGTGATGATAAATGACGTGACAACTCGCCGCACCGGAGCGGTTCTTTCTTTGTTCTCTATCTCTCTCCCTCTCCCTCTCTCTCTCTCTCTTTTTTTTTGTATTTTTTTTTAAAGCGGCGTGGCAAATCGACTCGTCACGCTCGAGTGGCGCTGCATCTCGTGACGAAACGCCGCGTCGCGCGTTGTTAAAAAATTAACGAAACAATGCACCGGCTGTCAGTGTCGTTTAGCGCTGTCGTGTCGTGTGTAGCCGATTTTCAGTACAGTCACGCGGCTACGTATCGGCGTGTTTAAATTAAGATCTAAATTATTGCGAAGCCGATTGCCGACGAGATGGATTGCGCTACATACCTGCGGTCACCTCTTGCCTTTCCTTTATCCTAGCCATCCTACCTCGCTTTCTCAATATCGCGCCATTAGTGCGCTACGTGGAACTGGGATCGAAGATGATAAAAAATGCACGCGGTCGAGGAAGGCGGTTTCGCGCTTTCGGGCTTGAGAATCGCCCGCGCGCTGTCTCTCTCTCTCTCTCTCTCTCTCTCTCTCTCTCTCTCTCTCTCTCTCTCTCTCTCTCTCTCTCTCTCTTTCTCGAAGCGCAGTCTTTGTGCGGCCACAAAACGATCTGTAGAGCCAATATAAAATTCAAAGCCGCCAAGAGTGGCACCCTCTACGTTAACGACAGCGCCGCCCCTGAGCATCAGTATGCTAATCCGATGATTGGCTATGTTCCAACCCCGATCCCTCTCTCTCGACGTGCTACTCTCTTTCTCTCGCGACGCGTCTCTTCGTTCTCTTTCCGCTTCGTTCTCGATGTTTCCCTGCCGTACACACTCTCTCTTTCTCTTTCTAGCTTCCCTGCGGCTTCCTGATGGCATCCAACCACCCTTAACCGAAACCATAAGCCAAAACTAACCCTTATTCTAATTAGGTGGTGCCGCGGCGACGCGCCCCCTGCTTTGCATATTTTCTCGATTAACCTCGCCCTTTCTTTATCCGCTTGACGTCGCAGACCGCCGCAATTTTCCGAAAATTTTCTAATCCGCAGCTTGTGCATTATCCTTTTTTTTCTTTTCCTTCTGCACTGCGTAACTCGCTTGCCTCGCTGTAAGATGCGTCAGCGGCGCGAATTGTTCACGATTTGATTTTATTCCGCGCTTCGATCTTGTCGGCAATGGTGTAACGATTAGAAGCTTAAATTGTTATGCATAGCGGGCTAAATTTCATCAGAATCCACTTGAGTTTTTCACCCCGCGATCAATGAGGTCGAAATGGCGTTTTTATGACGGCCTGGTCCACGGCAACGACGGGCCAGTGTGACGATCCCCGCGCTCGAGGGCGCGCTCGCTGACATAAGCTCATAAACCCGCAATATTGAATACAAATGCACTGCCGGCGGTGCAAATGAGCCCTGCGAAAACCAACCCTTAGCTCCGGGGGTGACCCTAAGGTCAGCATAATAGCGCCGATCGAGGGGAAGCTCGAAAGGTCTACGATCAATTAGGTCGACCCCGAAGACAGATTCGCGCTCTTTGCTCTTCACGAGGCGCGCTTCGAAGAGGAGGAGGGCATCCCTGCTTTGCATTTAGGGTAATTTTTAATCCTATACTGATGCAGATAGCCGTGCGATTCTTTTCGGTATAGAATTCTCGACGCAAAATGCTTAGTCTACTTTGATCAGTCCATTTTAATTCTTTCCTGATCTTGCACGATGTCTTTTTGTAAATAAATTTTATGCGTGTAGAACAATAAATTAAATCCATTTTGTTTTCGAGTTATAAAATTTGCATTAGAAAATTCCTTCGATATATAAACAATAATAGATTTTTATATATTGTAAATTAATTTTTTTATTTTCAGGAAAGAATTAAACATTTTATGCTTAGAGTAGGTGCAGTTTTGAAAGCGATACTCACTTTTTCTCGCGCTTCCCCGCGCCGGTATCCCGAAATCCTTTCGCGAAGGGGTTGTTATCGATCTTCAGCTGGGTGATCTACGCATAAAATAAATTGATTTAAAGTAACATTAAAAAAATTTCTCGTTAATTCAGATTCAACGAGATCCTTGAGCCACCACCCTCTCGCTTCGCTTCGTATTCGACATACCGAGAAGGCGCGATAATTAAGATAGAAGTATACATAACCGCGTATATAAACGACCTACTAAAAATCTGTACAAGGCCCGGTTTCTTCTTACAGTGCCACGTGTGTGCGTGTGAGCAACTCATTCACCACCGAAAATAATGCGTACCGAGAAGACTCGTTATTCCACGAAACGATTCTCGGCATCCGTGGCTTTATCAAGGCAGAAACGCGGAGAAATATTAATTAACAGTAGGCCTAAAGTGTAAACGGTCTACCCGCTCAGATCGTAACGCGAGATTGTTCCCTCTTGACGAATTCTCGCCGTCACGCGTGAAGTTTATTTCTTTCTCTACGCAATAAGGTGACGAACTTTTAAGAAAACAAAGAAGCTCCGAGACGTATTTCTTTTTCTATGTGCACCGATAAATTTTACGAGATAAGAAAGGAACACGAATAAGATATCACAAATTTAACCTTTCCCGTTTTTACGTGAAAGATCGCTCCGATATTCCGAAATCGGTTTGCCGATAGATCTATTTGATGCGTGAGAAAATGGCGGAGGTCGCTTACCTTTTCGTTTTGATAGGCCGTCACGGCGATGAACTCCGTCTCCTTGAAAACGTAACTCCTGAACGTCGAGTACGGAAGCTTTAGGATGTCATTGGCTCGCACGAGGTGAAACCTCGGCTGATACTTGTGCATCGAATTCAGTATCGTCTGTAACAAGAGAGGGAGCATACATTGGGACAGATTGTTTTATGCTAGCGTCAGCAGAAACGTTTGCAATTAGTTCGCTTCGTTCGCACTCTCAGACCAGTTGCTCAATGACTACAATTCCATTTCTGCAAAATTTGTGAGTTAAGAAAAAAAAAAAAATGTAAATCGAATTTTTCTTTTCCGATCGCTAACATTGCTCGAATATCTTTGAAACTTTGTAGAAAATAGAATACATAAACGATATTCAGAGAGAAAGAGCGTTCCAATTAACTTGGATCACGGAGCTTAGAATTCTCGTGATTAGCTGTTGCGAGCGCGGTCTGAAAGTGATCTATGGCACAGCGCAAAATTAAGCAACAAAAGCGGCACGAGAGAGCGATTTTGCACGAAGAAAAATATATGGAGATACGTCAGATTAAAAAAGTGTCAAGAAGGTGTTGCCGTTAATCATACAATCAGAGAGCGTGCGCCGGCACGTTACTCTTTCTGCCCCGTTAATTAATCTTCGTGCAAGTATTTCATAAAGTTCCGTGCGGGCCAAGAAGGAGCGAGCTTGGCAAAGCGGTTATTACACTGATGCATCATGCCGAGTTGATCGATACAAAATCTACAAACGCAATCATCGATCTTTTCGAACGGGCGGTTTTAGCGGGCGCCGCTAACGATGACGATCGCGGTTACATATTTACATTGGAAACATAATTATTTGTCGAAGACATTCCCAATATTCCCTTTGTTATTAACACTCGGTTGCTAATTGACAGAAATGATTATGATAAAATGGTGCGTATTTACCTAAAGCGGTGCGCAATATTTCAATTTTAGCGTTGCGTTCAACACCAAATTGTCATTGTTTAGCGTGTAATACAAATTTATCAAATTATCGCAATAACAAACTTTCGATTATGATAATTTGTCGATTTTAGCCCGCGATTAAAGCTCACGTTACACGGCGGACGCTCATCGATCTTGTTTAAACGGACGCGTGTACGCTCGCGCGAGTCGCGCTCGCGAGGCTCAGAGCGAATTTGTTGCTTTTATTACGATCTGAAGGGCCGTTCAGAATATTCTAGCACGCAAAATGAAAAGGGCGAGCGGTTAACTCGTGCCACGCGTTTGTCGCATGCGTAAGGAGAGAGAGAGAGAGAGAGAAAGAGAGAGATTAATACGTGAGCGGTAACGAGCAAATTACCGGGCGCGTCGTAAACGCAGACCGATCGATAGCCGGAAGCGGTGTCGTCGCGCGCGACTCCGCCGTCGAATTCACGAAGATGGATTTTCGTATCCGCGACGTGCCGCTTCCCGAGTGTCCTGCCGCTACTGCAGGGTCGGCCTCAATCGCCAATCGGCATAATTTATGTAGCGGTTATCGCATACATGGTGATCGATAGGCGCGTTCCGAAACATGGCTGACCGTATTCTGGATATCGGTCGCTTCGAATCCGATCGAATCCCCTTATTAATTCAATAGAATCCCGCTGCCACTTCGCCAAATAAAACATATCGCGAGCGCGCTTATCATTCGTATATCGTCACTGCGTCGTATAAGCGAAGAAGCGAGATTAATTTCGCTATAGCATCGAAACCGGTTCATCCGCCACCGCGAGTGAGCGTGGTGCTTCTTTCAAACAGTGGAGAATCTTTACTTCGTCAAAAGAAATATTTATTATTCGTGTTGCGTTGCTCTCGTCTGAAATCGAAGTTAAAACCTTAGAGCGCACAACTTTTGCAAGAGCAATTATAGAGGCTAAAATTGTACGTGATGAAGTAGTATTTTACATTGTAAGTTTTCCAGAGTAAAATGCAGCGTAAGATGATACTTCGATCCGAGTTTCGTCTGCGCGGGCAATGTTATTAAAGTATTAATATCGGGTTAGTCTATGAACTAGAAACCCAGTCAGACACGCCAAGGATCGTTCGCGGAAGTCTTACAATTTTCAAGGTACTCTTTAATCAACTGCAAAGACTAAATCATTGCATAATAATGCGAAATGCACAGACATCTCGAGAGCAAACTAGGTTGCACACGCGCACTTTAATTTTTCCAGATATTTCAATTTCAATTTTTTAATTAACAATAATTTTCGAAATTAACCGAGCGATTCGTCAACGAAGAAAAGTGTATGGACAGCGCCCTATAAACGTTCCGTTCTTAATTTATTATAAAAGTAAGACGCTCGTGTCGGAGAAATGTTTGATTTACGTTCGGGCTTTAATCGATGAGTTAATACATTAACTGTCTACCCTTATGCAGCAATATCGTGTGTCGATGGAATAAGTGAGAAGTTTTCGACGGGAGGGGAGAGAAAGCCGTCGAAAAGCGCGTGGAAAAGAGACGATTAAAAAGTGTTGCCATGATCCCGATTCCGTCGCCACGCTCCGGTATCGGCGACTCTGTTTTCACTCTCTCCGCGTTCTTTATCATTCCGCCGCGCATCTCTCGCCGCGCCGACCGCTCCTCCTTCCGTTTTACGCAGGTACCGCTCGGAGCGTCGCTTTGCCGTGGGAATAACGAGTAACAGGATTGCGGAGGACATTTCGTCGACAACGGGAAACGAATGAACGCTCGTATCCTCGTTGCCGATAAATCTGTTTATGCGCCGAACGTTTCGCCCGCGGAATCCGGGTAATTACCGTGCGCTCGAGGAGAGAACTTTTGCGGTTGAAAATTGTTTGAAAAGCGGGCACGGGTGCAACGTGTCTTTTAGCGAATAGCGAACTGTCGTCGATAAATGCGGGGGAGAAGGGCGCGGCTAAAGGATTATGGCTCTTCAAAGCGAGGGCAAATACATTAGCCCGGAAAAGTTTCCAGTGCCAAAGCTGCCGAGGGAGAAGTTTTTAATGGCGCTAACTTGAAATTCTCGAGACAATAAAACCGCTTTTAACGATCTTTCACAGCGGCATCGTAATATATTCGTATAAATAAACAGGATGTCACAGAAATTCACCTTTTAAAATTTAAGTTTATATCAGTAAAAATTAATATAAAAGTATCATTTAAGATAAAAATTCGTAACAATCAAGTTTTGTATTAAAAGCGCGGTAAAGTTAAAATGTCTAATTTTATAGCACAATTTGTGACGGATTCCTTAGCGTTCGATACTTGTATCTTGAAGTATTAAAGATTAGTCATCATTTTTTTGAATCTAAATTTCGGTAATTACAGAAAATACGTATATATTGTAAATTGGTACATTTATATCAATCGTGTGTAAGAAAGAAGAAATTAAAAAATTACAAAATATAACTTAACACACTTTTACAGACGGAAATTTATGCACGAGCGCATTGGGATCCTTGTCTTACGAACGAAATCGTTGACAGACATCGAGAGACGCAGGGAGTCAAAGGTCCACCGGGTCGAACAGAGTCGGCCGATAATTACCGGAGAGTGCGAAGGCATAAATGGACGACCGATCATAACACACGCAATGCCATCCGGTCGGCGGTGAGTAAATCACATCCGCAGTCGCCGCGCGCGCGACAAGAAGTAAAATTTGCCGACACGCTCGCGCGTGCAAATCGCGCGGTGCGCGGTAAGAAGGTAAGAGAGAAGCGCGCTCGTTCCCGCCATTATGAGCGGCACGGCACAAAGGGGAAATAATTAGCGCTGGCCGGGTGATAAGCCGGCAATCTAGGCGTTTGTCATTAGCCTATCAAAGCCGAATGCCTCGCTCTTCTTTTTTTCTCTTTTTTTTTCCACCGCCGCGCCGCGCTGCTCGCCCTTCCGGCCCCTCGCGCGACGACGTCCCGGCGGTCCCCTCGTCCCTATCTCGTTTCTCGTGGACCTTCGGCCCCGACACGCCTCTGGCGCCGTGGAAAATATGTGCGAACGCCGATCGGAGCAATTAGTATTTCTCCGGACTCTAATCTGGGCTCGCTCGAGCGCGGCGAATGCGCGTCTTTCGCGGTGCATTTTGCCCGTGGAATATGTCGACGAAAGGGGGATAAAAAAGGAGAGACGAAGGAAGGAGGATACGCTTCACGAGAATGGAAAGAGGGAGGGAGGACGGTGAACTAGTATCGCGGGATGCGCCTAGCGTGAGAGGAAGAGAGAGAGGAAAGAGAAAAGGGAGGGAATAGAAGAAGGTGGTCGGACGATGGAAAGTAAGTGGTAGGATCTGAAGCAGCCCGGTGTGTATATCGCCGCGTGAATTGACCGGCCAGATAAAACCGCACGGCGGCGGCGAGGACGGGGGCGGGGAAGCGGCGGAGGCCGGGAGAGGGACGGGGGCAGGGGAGGAAAGTGAGAGAATATCTCGGCCGACACAGAAGCCGACGCTGCTAATGACTCTGTCCGCGGTAATCTCCGGGTGTTATCTGTCCTGGCTACCTGGGGCCCACCTACTTCGAATCACGAACCTGCACACGCTGCCGCCGCGTCTCTCTTTCTCGCGTCCCCCCTCCCCTTCGCGCCCCTCGCCGCGCCGCCTCGCCGTCCGACGACGTCCTTGCGCCATCAGGATCGCGGAATCCGGAGATCGCTTTGGACGCGCCGCTCTCTCGCAGCCGGCGTGATATATATCTTTAATATATGGATCAATAAAAAGTTTTTACGCGCCGCAACTCGCAGATCGCTTTATTCTGATCGCAAACTTTTATGTAAATAGTTGTAATATTTACGATACGTGAGGAGGGTAAAGTAAACTGAGAATGCAAAAGATTGATACGCCAAAGAGATAAGGAATAATTCGTTCTTTCAAGTTTTCGCGCTGGTCAGTCGGGAAGGAACGCAACAAAACCTCGCCGTTGCTGTCCTTAGTGTTTGGCCAACTAATCGTACAGAAGAACAAACAAATCTCTCGGGTTGAAAGGGTCTGTCTCGACGAGAGAAAATAAGGACTCCAGCGTCGAAGAAGCGCCGGCAATGGTATCGATGCTCCTTCGCCGCAGAGAGAGAGAGAGAGAGAGAGAGAGAGAGAGAGAGAGAGAGAGAGAGAGAGAGAGAGAGAGAGA